GAAATAAACCCACATGTACATAGGCATATAATTTTCAGCAAAGGAGCAAAAAACATCCAATGGAGAAAAGAAAGCTTCTTCCATTAATTGGTGATGGGAAAATTGGAAAACCACAGGCAAAAGAATGAAACCAGACTACTGTTTATTCCCTTGTATAAAAATTAACTCCAAGATAAATATCACATGATCTCACTCATTTATGGAATATAATGGACAACATAAAATGATGAACAAAAACAGATCCAGAGACAGAGAAGCATTGATGAGACCATCAAATCTCAGAGGGAAGGTAGGGGAGGGTGGGGGATATCACACCTGCCCACTAGAGGAGAGATATCACACCTGCCCACTAGAACCTTTAAAGTTTATATAGAGGCCTTAACTGGGCCAGTCACATGTACCATCCACATGGTCTCAACAACACATTGCTCTCTCAGGTCTCACGTGTCCTTGAAACGTGGTCAGGATGCTCATCCCAAGGACAGGAAGCAGGTGAGGAGCCTCCAATTGCCCGGGGACCAGCTCACCATCAATTGACAGTCCCATCCTCTCAATGACCTTCTCCAAAAAACTGGACATAAATAGGACTTTGTTTTAGTCATTAGTTAATCCACGGAAACACATTTCAAGAGCATTTATTTTTTATTTTAAATTATTCTTTTCAGTTTTACTGAGGTATAATTGAAAAACAAAATTATGAAATATTTAAAGTGTACATCATAATGATTTGCTATATGTGCACATTGTGAAAGGATGCTTTCCATCTTCTTAATACATCCATCGCTATACAGAGAACATTAAAATTCTACTATCTTAGCAAATTTTAATTTTATAAAACAGTGTTATCAACTGTAGTCACCATATTATACATTAGATTCTCAGAACTTACTTATAACTGAAGGTTTGTACTATTTTATCAATCCCTCCCTGTTTCTCCCACTCCCTCGTTCCTGGAAACCAATTTTCTACTATCTGTTTTTGACTTTTACTTTTTCTTTATATTCCACATATAAATAGAGAGCAGTCAGATAGCTCCGGGAGTAGTGAGGTGTGAATTGGGGGGAAAAAAGAAAAGAAAAGAGAACTCATGGACATGGATAACAATGTGGTGGTTATGGGGGGAGGGGAAAAGGTAGAAGATGGCATAGAGGAAATAAACGGTGTAGAAAAAATAAAATTAAAAGCTTGATATTCAAAAAATAAAAGCGATATGCAGTTTTATCTTTTTCTGACTTATCTTGCAGCATAATTCCATCTTTGTTGTCACAAATGTCAGGATTTCTTTCTTTCTGAAGGCTAAATAATATTTCACTATATATATCAGACATTTTGTATTTATTCATGTTACATTCTTCTGCCTGTTGCAATCCGGCTTACCCAAGACCATTTATTAAAGAGATTATCCTTCCATATTGTGTATTTTGGCTCCTTTGTCATAAATCAATTCACCATAAGAGCATGCAAATTTTTTAATAACATGGATATATAGTATATTAAATTTTAGTCTGATAGAACATCAAAATATTGAACATAAATATGCTGACATGTCTAGAAGTTTGAAAGTATTGATATATATAGGCAATAATACAAATTATGTTGTTATTTTTAAATAGTATTTATAGATATATTGATATATCTGAAGAGAAATGT